GACCGGGACCGGGACCGGGACCGGCCTCTGGGGCGGGTCAGCCGTGGGCTGGCGGCCGCCCCTCTCGGAGCGGGCCCCCGGTGAGGGCTCTCTCTGGGCCGGGCGGCAGGACGTGGCTCAGGGCAGGGGGGTTGTGGTGGTGCTAGTAGGCTCGTATTTGGCTTTTCGCCTTAAATCCTGCTGTGGCCTCAAAGGCTCCAGAAGATTCCCCCTGAAGTCAGAACACCACGTAAAACTGGCAAACCTGAAAATAATCTCTCCCAGCAACTACCTTCTAATAATCTGTCTGGAGACTTCGGGCAGCTGAGGGCTAGAGACGCCTCTGGAGCCAGCGGGGTAATTGAAGCAGGCTTTCTCCCAGGAAGGGTGGATGGAGGCATAGAAAAGGCGGTGGTTTTTTTACCATCTGAGGTAAATAAAAAATACAGGTGCTTTTCAGATGGACTGGCAAAGATGGGAGTAGAAGTCACAAGCCAACAGTTTGTATTCAAGTAAATAGAGTTAATTACGGAATTTGATGTTAACGCTAACTGTAAGGTAGCTTCGGGGGGGTGGGGGTGATATTATATGTTATAAATTTTAATCATAAAATTAAGTTTGGAACATGTTTATAAAATGTGTTAATACCTCTCCTGCATTTTTTTGTTGTTTTTAGAGTGTAACTGCTACTGAAGTAAAGATTTAAAGGCGATCTGATGACAACGAAAGCAAACTTTCCTGTGACAGCAGGACCTGTAGTTGTCCCTTATGGGCATGTGATTGGAAATGAGAAGTGGAGAGGGTCAGAGATAGCCCAAAGGCTACAAGGTAAGCATAAACAAATTGGAAGAGCAAAAGCAATTCGGGCAAAGCATTCCCCTCTATCACCCAGTATTGTTGACTAGCTGGAATATGCTTTACTCTGTGCCAGACTGGTCCCATATGCATAGTACAGCCTATGTTAGCAGGCTGAAAATTCCTATCTGTCTATCATGTATTTACAGGATCAGTTCTGTCACGTTTGTACAATTGCTGAGCACTGTAGCAGAGAAGCAGAAGTATCTGCTTCTTGCATATTCATGATAGCCCCGCTGCTGTGGTTCCCATCTCCACTGAAATCCCTTTAATTTACATGGATACTGGGACTGTGCGTGCTATCATCTCTTGACACTGCAAACTAAATTAAAACGATCTTTTCAGAGTAGCTTGTGATGTTTTTGTTCAAGTCCAGAATTTACTGAGAAGCTGTAGCACTTTCAAGTCTGTAGTTTGGAAGAGCTATTAATTGGTATTACTAAAGGCATCATGCTGTACGTTTGATTGCTTGTACCAGTTTTGCTTAAAGAGAAGTCAGGCTTTCCAATAATAAATGGTTTGTTGTCAAGTCACTGGGGTTACTGACATGTTAGGAAGGTTGTGCTGTAATTTTTTTTATTTTTAACTACTGTATTTATTCTTTTCACAAACTTGCATTAAGGGAAAATCAGACTCATCTTTGAAGATGGTTTGGGACTTGTGGATTTTCATCTTTCAAACAGAACTTGCATTTTATATATTTCTGAAGCAGATTTGGTTGCAGGGAATGAATTCAAACGAAGATTGGTTCGGTTTAGAAATGTAAGTACTACATAAAGAGAAAAGGAAGATTTTTAAAACTGGTGTTTGTTTATTCTGTGCTTCTGAAAACATTCTCCTAGAGTTATTTTTAAATTCCAGTGGAGCTAAACTTTTTTGATGATTTCCACCTGAAAACTGAAAGATTATGCAGCTGTGTAGTAAAGCTGTATTAAACCTCAGTACTGTTACTGCAACTTCTATTCTTCCTCCAATTCACTTTCAAGCAGCTCATACTTGACAGAAGTTTGCTCTCTGTTCTATTGTATCAGCTTGTCATTGACAAGTTTTTTTCTTCTCTTTTGCTTTCATACAGGCCAGCAGTCTTGAGGGAATTGTAATTGTAGAGAGAACCCCAATAAGTGATCAGTACTTCTTAGCTGTACAAAAGCTTGTTGTGCTAGAACTTGGAATGGTGGTGTTTCCTGTGGCAAACCAAGGAGAAGCTTCTCAACTTATTACTCAGCTAGTAAGTTTCTATGTTATTGGAGAAACGTTTATTAAAATATGAGACATGAGGAGAATGACCTGTTTTCCCACAATCTCATTCATTTCAGAAAGAATACCTGGGATCTTAAAGGAACACGACATGTTTTGTTGTTTGAATGTAAAGTATAAATCTCTGATGACAGTAATATGATAGTATAATTCAGCTGAAACAGGCTCACTTGGTAATGAAACAAAAGAGTTTAAGAATATGATACTGGATTTTTTTAATGTGATCTTGCACTGAGGTGCCACTAGATAGCATTAGACAATCCTCACTTAAGTTCTCTGTCAAAACTAACTTGAAATTTTGCTTTTGTCTCAGGCTGGGGAAACTATGTTCTTATTTCTCTTTTCCTTTATCCTTTCTCTGATTGCATCAAAAAGATGAAAATCATTGTTTTAATTCATGGTTGGTATTGAGAAACTGTTGGTTTCCTAGTGAGCTTTTGTGGATCTGCATCAAAACCCTTAATAAAGGTGCACACTTAAGGAGTAGTTTTAAAACTTCCTAGTGTTTGCACTGAACTCTTGAGATGAAAGCATTTTAAATACCAAAAGCTGAGCTCCAGCAGAGGGCACTCAGTGTCAATTCTGGTTTTGTTTTGCTTTAGGTCCGTGAACAAAGTAAGGATCAAAACAGTAACCCCTTTCTTCGTAAACAGTCTTCTCAGCTGGCAGAGCCATCACTGCTCCGAACGGTGCAACAAATTCCAGGAGTTGGGAGAACAAAAGCTCTGCTTTTACTGCAGCAGTTTGGGAGCATCCACCGGCTATGTAACGCATCTGTCAAAGAGCTCGAGCTAGTAGTTGGACAAACACTAGCACAACAAATTTACAATTTTCTGTGTTCCTGATGTGCATGTGTAGTGCTGTTTTCGAAAACAAATACTTTTTGTTTGCTTGTTTCTGGTGAATTATAATATTTTGGTTTTAATAATTACATATTATGGTAATTTCTATAACCCTGGCAACAATGGAATGGTGTTGACTAATGGTTTAGATATTACTCTGCTGCTGCTTCTTTACAGCTTATGTAGGCTGAGCTCTGAAAATGACCTTGGAAAGAAGGCTGTAAAGTGTTTTGTATCTACACTGTACAAAAAAACAGAAAGCTGTCCCTTTCAGCATCCACAGAAAAAAAATGGAAAAGCAATTTGCTCGCTTGCTTTGGTATTCCAGACATACTGTTAGTTAGTATGTGGATGGTGTTATCTTCTCAGCAACTGGAAGTGAGTTACAGTGCTTTAAAAAAGTTAGTGTTCATAGCTTTATAATAATATCTTTGATTTATAACTTTTGGAGTTCCTTTGGAATGTGCTGCTGGAATACTTCTTTGACTTTACACCATCTTAGTTTTCTGGAATCTTTTTCAGTTCTCAAGGCGTTATCAAATTTGTTTCTTTTCTAATATCAAAAATCTTGCTTAATTCATTTTGGACTTTTGAGAATATAGGTTGGGATAATTATAAAAAAATACAATGTATTTCACACATTACAATTTATAATTAATGTATTATAATATATGCTGCAAAGAATAATATGGAGAGCTTTGATCAAAATTCAGGATTGAACCTGTTCTTCCAGTATTAATCTTTATAAATAACTATTGAACAGAGGAGTGATTTTCCTGACATACTGTGTTTTAAGTTATATTCTTATCCTATTTAATAAGGGCAAAATTGCCTTTTGCCTTATGCACCCATTAAGGAAGTGTGTGAAAAGCTTCTTTCATACTGCTTGGATTTTGGATTGCAGCAGGAAGGCAGTTGAGCAGGATTTTCAGCTCCCTTTCATAAACTAAAAGGAAGTGAATAATAAAGCTTTGGCACCTCTGTAACCAATCTCATCCACCAGTTAGCATGGACAGCAGATAGACTTGTTATTTATATTGATTCCTTACTTGGGCTAAAAATGTAATTTGGCCCTAAATATTTAGTTCACTGAATAAGAAACATCAGGATTTCCAGAACTACGGAACAAGATACTACTTTATTACAACTAAGGAGTGCTAAAGCTTCTTTATAAATCTGTTTAGATTTTATTCTCATGCGCTCAGACTTTGCCACTTTGCTGTGGAGACTAGATGTGAAATCCAAAGGTATGTGGCTATTGATGTTGCAGGGCAAACACCTTTTTATTACTTCAAATAATCCTTTGTTCAGTGCATTAATTGAACTTTAAATAAAGTAGTTAACAATTAATACTATTGAGTTATAGGCTGAACTACTAATCCAGCACAAGTCTTTATTTTTAGGGCTTTAGAGTAGCCTTTCTTCAAGGACTAGTGAGTGTAATGATGGGAAGGGAAAAGCAGTTTAATCAGCCAGCTAAGGGAGTTGTGGGAAGACTGTCATAGTGGGCTAAGGCAAATGAAGAGCTAGAAAGGTGATTCATGTGGCTTTGCTGAAGCTTTTATTAGATAAAAAGTAATTTGCATGTATGGCTAAAAGTAAATCTCTTCTGTATAGAATAGTGCAGGGCAAGGTCTTGTGTATCAGTGAGTGCTGCTGCTTGTGTATCTGAGAAGTGCTATTACATGTGAAATAACCATTAAGGGTGAGTCACAAGTAATTTACTACATTTTGGTTTATGTAACCTTTAGAATGAGAAACAGATTAACATTCTTTGTAAGGAAGTTTTAGACTAATTTTTAAGTTTATAAACTTTTAAGAAAGACAAGTTTAGATCTTTGTAAGCAACATTACAGAAATATGCAAGAGGTATGCCAGCAGTAAAGAGTGAAAGCCTGTAAATTATGCTGTATCATCCAAGCTGTAGCAGAATAAAAGAGCTACTACTAAATGGCAGCATCTGATTTTTATTCTTAAATAAGTGTCATCAACATATTTACATCCATTACAAACTAAAAACAAATGACAACTTTAAAGTTTACACCCCCAGACACAAACTTTCCCCTTATTTTAAGTTTTGAGTATCAAACAGCATATATCTACTCTGTAGATGGCAATGTTAACTAACACTACAGTGTTAGCTATTTTTCAATTTCATAAAATAGAAGAATCTCAAAGAAATACTCAGTTATTTGTTTCCCCCAATATGTATAGCCAATACTTGGTCAGTCTAAGGGGAGAAGGATTTTATACCTATTTGGGTTTTTACGTGGTCTGATAGTAAATAAATACTCTGCCACTTTGACTCACAAGCACTTCTTTTCTCCTATTTCAAAGCATCACCACAATTTATGTACTCTTGATCAATATACTGGAATATGTCAGTTTTGAGATTTGTTCCACAGCTATAGATTTCATCAAGGCTAATGAGATACCATCAGACTTGTAAGTAGGTTAAAGGATTTCAAGTTTGGAATAAAACCTGTTAACAATTGAATCAGCAGGCACTTAAAATATAACCTAGATAAGAAAAAGAGCAGAGTAAAAGCCTTTTGTAGTTCAAAAGATCTTTTAACTTCTAAGTCTTCTAATTCTCTTCCAGAATTAAATTAACTGTTCAGTAGAACACACCTATACTGTCAGAAAGAGAATGTCTGTGTAAAGACCACAACTAGATACTGCCCCTTGGAACAAGGCTACTTTCTCTGAATAACATTATTCTCTCTTGCTGGTGGTTTGACACTAAAGTAGTATTTTAACAAGTGATTTATTACTGACTCAACTTTTACAGTAAAATCATCCTTTGATGTGTCCCGTTTTGCATGCAGCATCAAGTTTGTAATAAATAAGTCCCATCAGTTATAAAAAAAAAAAGTCATGATACTGTATTTTGAAATTCCAAAGGAATCCCGTCCTCATATAAGCAATTTTATCTACAACTTGTTATTGCATACCTCCCAAACCACTTCATTCTAATTTTCAAATACTGAAGTTTTACATTTTTGTCAGCCTCTGACCTTCATAGTGGCTCAGCACACAGTAAATGAAGTCAATGGCATTTGTCTGAATTTATACATATAGATAATTGATCAGTATTTTTATATACAGTTTAAAGAAAAATGTCATGTTAACAGATCCTTCTGAAAAATTCAGTACAATGAACTTTCTGTGTTCAGAAGTGTGAAGGGAGAAAGCTTCTTCTTAATCTGAGAAGTTCCAGCCACAGCTGAAGGAAGGCAGAGAGTGCTTGCAGCTTTCTGTCTATTTTTAGTTCCCCAACTTAGAAAAGGCAGCTTCAGTGGGGCTTTCTTGGTCTGATCAATCTTATCATCTTCCATGGCCAAACAGATTAAGGAGTAGGTTTTCTGCATTCCCACAGAATAAGTTGCACTCTTACTATGCTGTAGGAAAGAGAAGCATTATAAGAATCAGTCACCCAAAATGGGTCAAAATTTTGATGATAACAAAGGATTACTGTGCAAATAGTTTTCCAAGACAGACTACAGCAAGCTTTCTGTGCTAATGACATACTAACTGAACACAAGGCCCTTCAGAGTGCTGTGATTCTGGTATTCTGTCTGTGTAGACTCAAGGGTGTACTATGCTAAGTGTAAAGCGACCTGTAAATTTTTTCCACGGGCTGTGTTATAATTAGCACTTACTGGCTTCTAACAGAACTACGATATATCCGCTAACCTCTCTACAAAGCTTAAGTATGTAGCTCTTGCACAAATCTCTGACCGGGAGTCTTTTTGCTGTCTTTGGACAGGTTCCATGTTGATTGCAACTACAACAAGAGCTACTGTATGACATTTTTTGGGATACATGGAAGGCACAGCCTCCTCTGTCTTATGTTAGCTGTGCCCTGAAGTAATTTGATTATATTCTAGCCTTTTGTTTCCAGGTAGCAGTTTGGAATGGCAGGTGTGCAATAAAGGAAAATCAACTTCTTAAACAAAACAAGAAAACACAAAACAAGAAAACCTAACAACAGTAAGAAGACCTTGATCACTTGTAAGGCAGCAATACTTCAGTGCCTAAGCTTGCTAGGGAATGTTAGAAGCATGAAGCATTGAATTCATCTGAACTACAGGTTCTCTCACACTACAAATAACTTTATTTAGAGCTTAACATTTTTTAATCTTGTGATCATTTTTCCTTAGTCTAAAGCTTCTACAGGAGCTTAGTAATTAACTAAACAGTTAAAGTCCAAAGTAAAAAATACATTAATCCATGATCCAATACAGAAGTCATGGATCATTTATGTAAACAGTGCATAGAAAATAAGCATGTGGTCTTGGATATTCTACTTCAGTCCCTTATTGTTTCATTGTGGCTTTTCCAGTGCTGAACAAGGTAAAATTTTCATCCTCTAGGACAAGTTAGGGGAAAATAATAAAGTGTGCCCTGGAATTTATAATGCAATTAAACTAAGTAGCTCCACTACAAAAAACACTACACAACCATTCTTATGTACACAGACTGTACTTTAGCTCACTAAGTCATGATGATTTAAACAGACTTGTTTAAAGCTGAACACATGCCTGAATGCTTTATGTATTCACTGGTGAAGTAGGATATCTGACTACATGAAAGTAAACATTAAATCAGGGACCAAAGCCAGGAAACTGAAGAAAACTTTCACATATCCAATCTGCAAAACATATTTGCTTTACTACATACCATAGACGCTGCTGTATCCTGGCAACTGATAACCTCAATCTCAATGGGCTGCTCTCCCACGCTTTTGAATTTTTCGAGCACCTCATTCACTCCAAGCCACTTGCAATCCACGTCACCAACTGAAACAATGTAGTCGCCTTCTTTTAGGCCCATTGACTGTCAAAAAATATTGCAGAGGTTATTATCTGGAATTATAAAGATCCATAACATGGTTTTGTCATCATACAGTATTTGTCTTTTAAGGCATTTCCCTCTTAGATGCTATAAAACCACTGTCTAGCCAGACGTGGAACATATGTATACATAATGTAGAAACATGCAACTTTTTCAAGTACACAAGTTA